TTTGATAATGGTCGTGAATATTTATCTTCATCATTTCAAGAATACTTGGACCAACATGGCATTATACATCAGACCTCCCTACACCCACAACAAAATGGGGTGGTTGAGAGAAAGAATCGTCATCTTTTGGAAACAGCTCGATCCCTCATGCATCACATGAATGTTCCCAAACCCTTTTGGAGTGATGTGGTGCTTATTTCTTGCTTCTTGATTAATCGGATACCCACGTCTATCCTTAATGGTCATTCCCCATTTATTACCTTGTTTCCCACCTTGTCTCCGTTTCCTCTTTCTCCTCGGGTTTTTGGGTGTGTTTGTTTCGTCCATAATCTGGGCCCCGGGAAGGACAAGTTAGATGCACGATCTATTAAGTGCATCTTCCTTGGCTATTCCTGGACCCAGAAAGGGTATAAGTGTTATCATCCTAGTTCTTGACGTTCCTTTGTGTGTGCTGATGTTACATTCTTTGAGTCTACTCCGTTTTTCTTAGGGTCTGGTGATGCTTCTTCCTCCTCATCACCTCCTCCTCTTCCACTTCCAGTTGCCGATTCTGTTCCCCTTGTTCCAACTGTGACCAAGTATCTGATCTTGATCTTCCCATTGCCTTGCAGAAAGGTAAACACACTTGTACCTTTCATCCTATTTCTAATTATGTTTCACTCACTCACCTTTCTGCTTCCCATCGCCAGTTTATCTCTTTGTTATCCTTAGTTGTTGTCCCTAAGGATGTCCAGGAAGCCCTTGCCTCTCCAGGGTGGTGCCGTGCAATGGAAGAAGAGGTCTAATTCATAATCATACTTGGGACCTCACCACTCTTCCTCCTGGGAAGCAGGCTGTCGGTTGTAAGTGGGTTTATACTATTAAGTATTTACTTGATGGTAGTGTTGAGCGCCTGAAAGATCGATTGATTGCAAAAGGGTACTCCCAAACCTATGGYATTGACTACACAGAGACCTTCTCCCCAATTGCTAAGATAGGTTTGATTCGTGTTGTGATCTCTCTTGCTGCTATGTATGATTGGCCCCTC